AGAAGAAGAATTAGGCTGGGGAGATAGCTCAGTAGAATAAGTGCTTGCCTGGCAAGTTCAAGGTCATGAATTCAATCCCCAGTACTGCCAAAATAAATATATAAATAAATAAATAAATAAATAAGAATTAGACCAAATATTTAAAGACTGTGTTTTCCAGGATGATCATAACACAAGACAAAAACAATCTATAAGGAAAACACAAAGTCATTTAATGTCACTTCATAATGTCTTTTATGAACAAAGATGCAAGACTCCCCAACAAAATATTACCATGTTAAACCTGGAAATTTATTTTAAAAATGGTGTTTATCACAAGAATCTGACTATTCATATTTAAAAATTGATCACTAATATCCACTATGTTAAAGGCCTACAGAGGAAAAGCTGCATGACCACATCAACTGATATAGGAAAAACATTTAACAATTCAGGATTCATTTATGATAAAAATAAAATACATATCTAGCAAATGTAAAAATAGAGTAGTAACTCTGCTTTCAGGGAAATTAGAAAATGGTTTGTTCTGAATCCACTCTGAGTGACCATGACCACGGAACACAGATTCAAGTTACCTGAATGACATGTCGCACGATGGAATCAGTTACATGAACTGCTTTAGACACAGAATGAGTCATGGATCAATGTGTTTATAAAACACAGGTGGGGTCATGGAGTGGGCTACAGAACAGTGACAGCTCTCTTCTGTGGGGCTTAGACGTGACTGCACATCATCAGAAGCTAGAGTTATTTCAAGCTGAGCAACACATTTTAAGTTTTGTGTAGCAGTCATGAGGATGTGAGGTCAGATACAGGGGCTGATAGTAAATGGCTATTAACAGAGCTAACGATAGCCCAAGATAACTCTGGCTGTTCTTCTACATTTCTGTTCTACATAATATTCTAATGAGCCATGGTCAAGCAGTTTGCAGGATGTGGATGTTTCATGTTCACCCATGAAAAAATATTTGGGGCTGTTTCTAATGTTTTGAAAAATATGATAAAAATGCTGTTATTTGTACATAAAGGAATGAATATTGATACATGCAGCATTCTGAATAAATTCCAGTCTTAGTCTAAGAAAGAAATGAGTCTCAAGTTTCACTGTATGATTCCATTTATATAATAATATTGAAAAGACAAGAGCACAATGACAGTCGACTGGCTGCCAGGGTGGAAGGTAGCAGGAGAACATGACTCTATAGAGTTAACATGAAGTTTTTATGGCAGTATATAGTGGATTTCTAAGTGGTGGCCAACTTACTACACCCAGCTGAAGTAAACCAGCATGGTGCTGGGTGCAAGAGGCCCACCTGAGGATTGTTACCAGCAACATAAAGGCAGAACAGGAGAAGCTGCCGAAACGCTGTTATGGATGCTGTTTGGAGAAGCTGTTGGAGCTGTCAGAAGCTGCTAGTTCTCTTGGGCTGCTCTGCTGGAGGACCTTGTCAGGCTGGCTTTACTGATGAACTTGGGAGGAGCTTTGGTCCTCATCTTGAGCATCGCTTCCTCGCTCCAGAGGGGAAGATGGTGCACTGTTCAACCTCGTGGAGAAGCTTGTTGCATTGGCTTTCCTGATGGGTACTCAGCTTTCCTCATCGCTGGAGGAGCTCAGGATCTCACTGTTGCTGAGGATGGCTGTGGTACTTTTGGGGGCGCGCTGGTGCTAACCTGGAGCATTGCTTCCTAGCTCCAGTGCAGATCCCTCAGCCTGCTAGCACAGATCCTTTATCCTGCTGGCATAGACTTGCTAGCTTCCACCACTGACCTTTGGGCCTTTCCAACACAGGTCCAGGAAGCAGACATTCATGAAACTTTGTTGTGGGCTCTCAGCCTCCAGTTGGAGTTGTGGGAGGCATTGTTATGATCTCTAGGTTTTCAGCAGAACTCATGTGGGATATTAGGATCTAGGCCCTCAGCTAGAGTCTTTGGTGTCCATGTGTTTGAACAGATTTCCTGTGCTGCTTGTATATGATTCTTGGGTGAGTCATTATAAAATACTATTATACAATGTGTCTTGTATTATATTGTTCCACTTGCAAGAACCCCAAACCATGACACAGTAGAACTATACTAAATTCAGACTGTATTCAAGTTCACAGAATGGAACACAAGTTAATTTTATTCCCCAAATCTCTAGACATTAATCTCTTCACAGACAATCTTTCAGGACATCTTTTAAGTAGTGTTTCCTTTGAAAATAAAGAATTTTGTTCTTTTGAGAAGTTTGCATCATGGATCTGCATTCTGAAACATATATAAACCTCTACATAGAGCTCTTTACAGGTATAAGATTCTATCTCGACAGTATGAAGAATTAATCAGCTGATTTTAAATACCTGCTAGATCAAAATAAAAAAGTAAAAATAATTGCAGAAATTAAAATCCATCGCCCCAGAAATAAGCCATTTTGAAATGAGTTGCTCTCATTGATTAGGAAAGGAAGAGTAGCTCTTCAAGCTTTAATAAGAATTACATATTTTACACTCTTTTTTTCCCTTTCAAACCTTCATAAGAAACATAAGGCTCTCATTTGCTTTGCTCCTTTTCAGTTTTCTTTCTCATCTTGCAAGTTTAATATTCAGAAGAGCAAAGAAGGCACAGGAAGGGTGGTGATGTGGAAAATGGGAATCAGAAACAGCTTCACCATGGAGGCCACCTTCTGTGGATCAACACTGGGTGAGGCCAGGTGTTCTCATTCACTTCTCTGTGCCATATCATTAAACAGAAGGTGAAATTAATAGGTCCACCATGAGGGTGGACCTTCTAGAGACCGCCCAAGCTGCAGTCCCCAGCCCACTTAGTTATCACAAAGCACCAACACTGCAATTTGCTTCCCACCAAGGCAAGGGGCCAATGTTCCACTGAGCACCAGCCTTTGGCCTGCTCTGGAAAAGGCGTCTGAGTACATTTCCTACCTTGTGAGGGCTTCTGCTCAAATCACAGCTCATCCAAGCAAATATAAAAATGTATCTTTGCTCTTGTTTTCATAAATAACTAAATAAGATGCTACACATTTGATAACTAAATAAGATGCTCCACATTTAAATATGCTGGGGGCAGCACAACATTGGAAGAATTTTAGTCTCTTAAGTAGAACATCTCTGCTAAATCTTAGATATGAAATTTAAATTTTTGTAAGAAAACTCCAAACTAAAACCTATGTTAATAAAAACAAATGTATTAAAACTCACAGCCAGTCCAAGGAAATGTAAGTGTTGTTTTGGTAGCACACTGATCAGTCACACCCATTCAAAACCAAATCACATCATCGCCTGGTGCCACGTCTCCTTTCTGAGCATGCTCAGAGCCCCCGTGTGCAGTTAGGGGCAGTGCTGGGCGACTTGGCTTGTGTGCTGATAGAGACGGATCTGGGTGCCTGCTGCAGCCCGCATGCCACAGGTTCCCCACCAGTGGTGCAGACAGTCTGGTAGAGAGTACATTCTTTCCATGTAAATGCATGCTGTGTTTAATCAATTCTATATGCAGGTTAGTTCCACTATGTGGTATTTCTATTTCATCATTTCTTTTCATTTAGAAAGGAATATGCTAGCATGTACATAGACTACTCAAAATACTTAAAATATTATGGTAGACATGTTTTTATTGAATGTGCTATTTGCAAGGCAAAATTAGACAGCTTTTAAAATTAATTGTATTGGGCCAGCCAAATAGCTCAGGGGATTAAAGCACCTGCTTAGGCAGGCACAGTGTGCTATGCCGGCCCTGCCCCTGGGCATGCTGAGCTGGGGATTGAGACTGGGCGTGGTATCAGGTGCCTGTAATCCCAGCTCTTGGGAGGCTGAACACAGGCATATCACTAAGAGTCCAATCTACATAGTGAGATACTGTAGACCTTGTAGACCCTGTACTAAAATACAAAAAAATAATAATAATAATTTTATTGGTACACTTTTGATATACATAATAATCACATTCATCATAAGGAATTTGTACCTGTACATATGATATCTTAATTCTTTTTTCTCACCCCCTTCTTTCCTTCTTATTGTTCTTCCCTCTCCCTTTATAAAATATTATTTCCATTTTTTCCTTCCAGCTTTTATTTTATTTTACTTTATTTTGTCAATTCATATTTAGAAGGAAACACTTGATTCAGTGAGCTAAAAATAGAGGCCTATTCTGTAGTCTCATTAAGGAGTCTTTTAGTTATATATAGCATGATAGTATAGCTAGAGTACTCCACACTAAGATAATGACACATTGTTAGAAAATGTCAACTCAAAGAAAGGTGCTAGGGCTGGAGAGATGGCTCAGTGGTCTAAAGCACCTACTTAGAACAAGCTTAGCAAAAGCATCAGGGACCGCGGTTCAATCCCCCAGCACCACATGCCAGCCAGCCCCGCCCCCTGGTGGGCTGAGCTGGTCTCTCTCTCTCTCTCTCTCTCTCTCTCTCTCTCTCTCTCTCTCTCAAATAAAAAAAAAAAAAGAAAGGTGCTAGACATCCACATGTGACATTTTTAGCTTATTTTTAAGTCATCTTGAAATTGATAAAAACATTTTTTATGATGATGAAATCATTTTCTCAAAATCTTTTCCCATTTTTCTCAAAGTATTAGTATCATATGTAACTGGTAACCAACCACTCTGTAAAGGTCTCACTGAATTTTCTTTTTCTGTGCAATATATACTGATGTCAGCTTAAGTTTTGGAAGAAAATAATAATAAGCTGTCAGAAGATCTGCTCCAGGAAAAGAAAATTCAGATAAAAGATAGCGTCATATCCATGTTTTGTCTGTACTCTCTTGCAAGTTAGGCCTACTTGCAAAGAAAAATGCCTAACTCATTCCCAAGGGTGGATAAACTTATTGATGTTTTAGGTAATAAACGAGGCACTCATTTCAACACAAAAGATTTGGAATCAATGGGATACCATTTTTGTGATTCGCTCTTGGACTATTGTGATCCTGACCGGAGCAAGGTGAGCCAAGCCCTCTGGGTAGAGCATCAGATAACACGACTAGCCTGGTACTAGTCTTTCCCTTTTACTATCCTAACAGTGTGCTGGGACTTTTTGGTATTTAATTTCATTCCAGATGCATCTAAATATTTGGATATTAATTAGAATGTAATTACATAATGAATTTATTTATAATTATCCCTAGTATTATCAGTGCCTAAAAGAATTAGAAGAAATGGAAAAACATATGAACATGGAAAAAGTCCTTGAGGATTCAGATTCTTGCCCAAGAGAAATTAGACTGGATATAGAGTCCAGGTATGTCAAGACTATTGAAGGAAAGCACTTGGTTGTATTGTTTTACTCTGTTTTTTATAACAAGACTAGGATATTACTGTTGATTCCACACTGAAAAGTGGAGAGAAATTTCTCCCATGCATATTATTCTGGCCAAATATCATCATGACTTCATTTGATTTATTTTTAAATCCAATATAAGCATTTCCACATAGAGTGTATAGTCTTCACTTTATGTCTGAGACATAACATGTAATTTTGTGCCCTCTCCTTCCCTGCCTCCCTGTCTCCCTCCTGTCTGTCTCTCTCTCTGTCTGTCTGTCTTTCTCTTTCTCTGTCTGTTTCTGTCTCCCTCTCTCTGTCTCTGTCTCTCTCTCTCTCTCTCTCTCTCTCTCTCTCTCTGTCTCTGTCTCTGTCTCTGTCTCTGTCTCTGTCTCTGTCTCTCTCTCATAGGTTTTACTTTTTAAAGCAGTTTTAGTCACAGAAAATTTGAGTGGAAAGTACAGAGATGACCCATATATCTCCTGTCCCTACACATGCATGGCCTCCACCATTATCAACAATCTCTGAGTTTACAGTGATACATCATTGTCACCCAAGGTCCTTAGTTTATATGGCCCACTCTTGGTGTGTGCATTCTATTGGTTTGGACAAATCTATAATGACATATATCAAACTTTATGGCACCATATCACAGTGTTTTCTTTTTTTTTTTTTTTTTTTTTGTGGTACTGGGGATTGAACTCATGACCTTGAACTTGCCAGGCAAGCACTTATTCTACTGAGCTATCTCCCCAGCCCCCAGAGTGTTTTCATTGCATGGATTCACTCAGTAATGTACCTACTCTTCCCTACCTCAAACCCCTGACAACCACAGTTAAAGACTATCTCCATAGTCTTGCTTGTTCCAGAATGCCATTTGGTTGGAATTGTACAATACGTAGCCTTTTCAAACTGGCTTCCTTCAGTTAGCAATATACATTTCTATTTCTTCCACATCTTTTTCTAGTACAATAGCTCTCTTCATTTTAACATGGAATGATGTTTTACCCTCCGAATAAATGATAGCTTATTTACTTACCTAATGAAGAAAATTCTGATTGCCTCCAAGTTTTAGTAATTCTGAATAAATCTGTTACGCACACTCATGAGCAGGTTTAACTGCGGTTATGTTTTCAGTTCCTTTAGATAGATAACAAAAAGCAAGAAAGCCAATATGAGGGTGTGTTTAGTTTTTTCATTTTTCTTCTTTCAGAAATTTCCTTGTTTTATTTTTAACTTCAATGTGATAAAGACAGATCGATCCTCTCAATCAATTTTAAAGCACATAATGTGTCACTGTTGACCACTGGTACAGTGTGGAGCGACAGAGCTCAGGGACTTGCTCTTCTTGCTTCTCTGAACTTTTACATCCACTAATGAGCAGCAACTCACGGCCATTGGAGGCCATCATCCATTCTTTGAGTCTGTGCATTTCACCATTTCAGACACCTCACATTAGTAGGTAGAAATGTGCATTTTTGGTGTTTTGTGACTAGCTGTTCCACTTAGTACAAGGTCTCCACAATTCACCCATGTTGCTACATATTGAAGAATCTGTTTTATATGCCATTGAATTTTTTCCTTTTTAAAAGCTGAATAGTATTCCATTGTGTTATGTGCCCTATCTTCTGTGTCCGTTCATCTGTAGAGTTCATCTGTAGATAAATATGCAGTTTGTTCCCACCTTGCGGCTATTGGGAGTAGTGTTCCACCAATGCTAACACCCATTCAGGCTGTGTGTTTCACTTCTTTTGGATAAACACCCAAGCTGGAATTGCTGGATCATATGCAAGTTCTACTTACAGTTTTCTGAGGAACCTCCCTACTATTTTTCAGTAGCAGCTGTACCAGTTTGCATTCCCACCGCAGTGAGCAGATTTCCAGTTCCTTTAAACACTTTCCGACGCTTGCCTTGTCTTGTTTTGCTTTGTTTTGTTTCATAACAGCCATACTTACAGGTGTGAAGGGATATCTCATTCCATCTGGTGTTTATGGTTTCTTTGCTGAAGGTTTTGGTTGTTGTTTGGGGATTTATTGTGGTGGGGTTTTGGCTTTGTTTGCTTTATTTGGCTTTTATTATAGTACCGTGGGTAGAACGCAGGGTACTTTACTACTGAGCTACACCCTGAGTCCCTGTTTAATTTCGAGACAGGTCTCTCTTACATTTCCCAGCCTGGCCTCAAACATGTGATGCTCCCACATCCAGCCTTCCTATTATGAGGAATTATAAGTGTGCACCACCATACCCGGCTTGGAGGCTTTTGATTACTGATTCAATCTTCACATAGTTATAGGTCTAATCAAATGTTCTATTTTTTCTTTATTTAGTCTTTTGTATTTTGAGACATTTATTTAATTCTTTTAGGCTATTCAGATTGTTAGTGAATAACTGCTAGTCAGTCCCTCCCCTTTTAATTAAATGGCATCAACTGTAAAGTTTCCTCTTTAATTTCTGATTTTATTAGTGTCTTCTCTCTCATCCCCTAATTTAGATAAAGATTTGACAGTGTTACATATCTCTTCAAAAATCCAGTTCTTAGTTTCACTGACTGTTGTGGATTGTCTCTAGATGTCCCCCAAAGCCTCATGAGGTGATAGGTGGAGTTCTGTGGAGGTGGGGGGGGGGTCTAGGCTATATGATGCTAGGGTGAAGGGTGCTCTGTGCTAGGTGTGAGTGCCACCCACCCTGAGGGTGTGCAGTCTGAGTGGAAGACAAGGGACAGAAGGAGGCTGCTGCCACTGCTCACTGCTGCTGTTGCTCCTGCCTGCTCTGTGATGCCCCTGCCACACTACACTGCCTTGGAGCCAGCTGATTACAGGCTGAAACTTCTACACACTGTGAGCTAATACGCTTTTCTTTCCTTAACTTTGGTTGTCAAGTATTTCATTTCAGCAATGAGAAAAGTAACTAAAACATTTACTATTGGTTTTTTTTTCTATTTCTATTTATTTTTGCTGTAATCTTTGCTTTTTTTCTTTCTGATAATTTTGCTTATTCTTTAATTTCTTGATGAGTAAAGAAAAAATATTGTCTAAATTCATATGTGCATGTGTGTGTCACTAGGGATCGAACCCAGGCCCTTTACAGTGAGCTACATCCCTACTTCTTATTTTTTGAGACACTCCCCTAAATGGCCCAGATTAGGCTTGAACTGGTGTTTACTTCTGCCTCAGCCCCCCAGAGTCCTGGGATTATAGGCATCCATCACTACAGCTGGCTGAGATCTTCTTTTGAAATGTGAATGTAGGGGCTGGGGAGATGGCTCAGTGGAATAAGCACTTCCCTGGCAAGCGCAAGGGCCTGAGTTCAATCCCTGGTTCCACAAGAAAGAAAAAGAAATGTGAATGTTTACCACAATAAAATTCCTTAGTATTGCTTTAAATTTTTTTTTCATTAATTTATTTATTTGATATGGGGTCTCACTACACAGTTCAGACTCCTAGTGATCCTCCTGTTTTCAGCCTCCCAAGTGCTGGGATTGCAGTATGCACACACCCAGTCTACCTTTGTAAATATTCTTCCCCTAATTAGAACATTTAATCATTTAAGTAAGGTAATAAAGAAAACAACAGGTGAGTGTTATTGTTAGATAAGATCTCTTTATCTGTCCAGGCTGGTCTCAAATGATGCTCCTGCCTCAGACCCCTAAGTAACTGGAACTACAGATGTTCTGGGATTTCCTCACCTGGCAACAGATGAAATTTTGAAATGCCACCTAAACATTCTGTTTGTTCTGTTTTGTAGTAGCCGAGGATCTGACAGTTCGGAATCCAATGACTCTCCGACCTGCCTTCTCAAGGTAACTTCTCAGGTATAATTAAAATCTTTTGCTTATGATATGGATATGTTAAACAGGTATTCTTTGGTGATTAACAATCGGCCAAAAAAGTTTTCATCTGCATAACTAATATATAGTAATAATCCTTTTCTGTTTATGTACATATCTTTAAATCATAGAATTTTTTAACTTTAGGCTTTTTGTTCTAATGTCTTACTTTATAGTCAAGAATAGTTAACGTCCAGAGAAAATGATTTACTCCAGAGCCTCACCACCCGGTAGAGCACGGGTGGAGCTTAGCACACGTCACTTGTCTGTTAGTGTAATATTCTCTCATACATGTACTATTCAGTCACATATAGGACTCCCGCTGTGTATCAGACATCAGAGCCGGAAAGGAAACAGCGCTTTACCTTTGTATTTCAAACTGTGGTTGAGAGAAACACAAAAAAAGAGATAATAACAACAAACTGTATGAAGCGTAAGATGGAAATAAATGCTTAGGGGAGGACATTAAAGAAGGAGAGGGAGTAAGTGCAGGTGGCCTTCACAGTTTGGGACGCAGTCACCAAAATGAAGAGGTGACACCCCAAGGACTAAAGGAGCAGACAAGCAGATCCGAAGTGTGTTAGCTGCCTTTTGTTGTGAATTGGCTTCAAAGCTTCAGTGGGCTATAAGTTTGTATTTTCTCGCACAGGAGTCTTCAAAGTGGCTTTTCTAGAATTGGATAGGGTCGCCTGGCCTTGGCTTCGGCTTCAGGATCAGTTATGTGTCATATCTTTCCCATTTCCTTGGACCAGACATTACTCAAGGGAAAATTCAAAGGTTAAAAACCCAAAGTTAACAACCCTAAATATAGCGCAGGAAAAGCCAAGCAGTATGCGCCCTTTTAAAGCTATATTGCCTCCTGGCGGATACATGTCATATTACAACCGTATTTTTTTTACCATATTCATTAACAGGTCATTAACATAGTAAGTCACAGAGCCAAGTCCAATATTCGTAGAATGAGGAAGTATATTTCACCCAAAGTGGGAGATACGAACACCCGCTCCTTCGCGCCTGTCCACCTGGCCCGGCCCGGCCCAGCCCTTCCGGGCTCCCGTTCATTCTCTTCACCCTGGAGGTTTTGTTTCAGATTTTTTCCTGTTTTTCGATGGAGCTGAATCCTCCAGAGACAAAACTGAAAGTTTCCAAGAGGGCAAAGAATACATCTTTGGAGGCAAAAGTTTGCGACTGATTTAGGAAGAGTGTGTAGGGGACGCAAGCTTGTGGAAAACCGGAGGCAAGCCTTGGGGTCCGGCCAGCGTGAGCGTTTCAGGGTTTCTTCCTTGTTTTGTTCAAGTGCCAGCCCTGCGCTCAGTGCCAGAGTACACAGATGGGAAGATTCCAGTGTTCGGTAGGTGCATTTGGTGAGAAAAACTGATGTTCAGCAAATAAGTAAGAAAAGTGGGACAAAGAGGCGTAGGAAGACCTCTGATACGTGCCCGGGACTCGCACTCAGTGTTGCTCAATGTTCCGCGCATGCCGTGATTCTTCGTGTGAATTTTCAGAGATCAATACCTCGACCATAAAGATGTCTATCAAGTGATACTGGGTGGTGTGAAAGGTGGCACCAAGGAAAGACGACCAGCAGCCCAATTTATTCCTAAATTTTTCAAGCATTTTCCTGAATTGGTAGCTTCTGCTGTCAGTGCACAGTTAGACCTCTGTGAAGATGAAGATGTGCCGATTCAACACCAAGCTATTAAAGAGCTGCCTCAGTTGGCTGCTGGGGAAAATCTGCGAATGGCAGATATACTAACTCTACTTCTGCAGACAGATGACTGTGGAATTTAATTTAGTGAACAGCGCCCTGTTAAGTATATTTAAAATGGATGCAAAAGGAACACTAGGTGGCTTGTTTAGCCAGATACTTCAAGGAGAGGATATTGTTAGAGAACACGCAATTAAATTCCTCTCTACAAAACTGAAGACTTAACCAGATGAAGTCTTAACAAAGTAAGTAGAAGAACCTATGCTAACAGAATCCAAAAAGGTCCTAGAAGATGTGACAGGTGGGGCATTTGTTCTGCTCATGAAGATCTTGTCTGTGCTAAAGAGCTTACAGAGGGCCGAGCAGGCCGGCCTGGAGCAGACCTCCACTCCTTCAGACCCGACTGCATGGACAGGCTCCACCCATGCACTTGGCAAGCGGAGCCTCTTTTTCTGAAAATGTCTATTCCACAAGGTTTGTGACTTATTTCTGTGAGCAAGTTCTCCCTAATGTAGAACATTGACTACCCAGTGGAGGGTCCTCATATACAACCAGAGGTGTTAAAATCGTTGGCAGAAATGAGTTCATTTTGTGGTGACATGGAGAAGCTAGAAACAAATTTAAGAAAACTATTTGGTAAGTTGTTGGAGTACGTACCTCTCCCATTAGAAGAAGCAAAAAATGAAGAGAATGTTGGTAATGAAGAACTTCCCAAGCTGCAGTTCAGCTATGTGGAATGTTTGTTGTATAGTTTTCATCAGCTGGGCCGAAAACTCCAAGATTTCTTAACAGTCAAACTGAACACAGAAAAACTCAAAGATTTCAAAATCAGGCTGCAATACTTTGACCAGGGCTTTTTACAGGTTTATATTCAACAACTTCGCTTGGCTCTCCAGGGTAAAACAGGTGAAGCCTTAAAAGCAGAAGAGAACAAGATCAAAGTTGTCACATTGAAAATAACAAACAATCGCTTCTCGGCCTTTGGGCTAAGATCAAGTGAAAATAACAAACTATCAATGTTTTAATCAAGGATCTCTTCCACATTCTTCTGTCTTATAAGAGCGCTGTACATTATCTTGGAAACCTGTATAGAAAGTTGAGATTGGGCAAAAGAGAGCCATTGAAGATGTAGCTTCAGGTTCATCAAGAAATCTCCAGCAGGGCCAAAAAGGAATGCCAGGTAGATTTACAATCCCCCCAGTGGGATACACAGCAGCAATTTGGGCAACTTTAATTATGAGCAGAGAGGAGCCTTCAGGGGAAGCAGAGGTGGCCAAGGTTGGGGAGTGCAAGGAAATTGTAGGCAAGGAAGACTGTACTGAATAAGACGTCACATTCTCCAAGCATTGTTACAAGCTTAATAAACGTAAATTCTACTACTTCATTGGATTGCCCAGGATGTCCCTTTCAAGGACTATATGTTCTTTATACTTTTGTATGTATAACCTACTTTTGTAATAGACCATGGTGTGTCCAAGGTAAAACCACAGTATTTTTGGATGCTGTGTCTCAGTCATGTTTTTGCAATAGCATCATGTCGCTTACTTTTAAAACATCCTAATAATTTGTTATTGAAATAGTTGGAGTCTAAAAATGTAATAAAATTCAGTCTAGTTTGATAATCTGGTAAAGATCATCAGTTTTGAGGGGTAACTTATTTTCTACCATCTTTGTAACCTAATATATGAAGAATGATAGTCAATCTCGACATTTTATTTGTCTTGTTATTTTGATAAAGCTGCTAGGCAGTTGTGCAGTATTCCCTCCTTAGGAAATGCCAGCTTTCTTAAAAGTGGAAGTGACAGTACATTTTTAGGAGAAAGTAAATTGCTTTTCACTGCTTCCTTTTCTCCATATATTGGGATACAACTTTTAAATGTGGGATCTTACTATTTGAATAGAAATGTTTATGTAAAATAAGTATGTGTATGTATGTATGTATGTGTATACATACATATATATGTTCATGCTGTGAAAGGATTATACAACAAATCGATTTTTTTTTCTTTTTCTTTCTTT